TTAATCAATTTTTTTAATAATCAAAAATATGTCTCAAGTGGCTTGCTACAATTTCCATAGGCTACACTATACATTTTCAATGCCATAATTTATTTTTGAAAGTCATTGATGTCGAACTCAGATTATGGGATTCAAGGTCCAATTGTCGTAACTGGTTAGGAATCTTGATGTGGTAAAGATAGAATGGCCTACTCCCAGAATTTTGACCATAAAATGTCCTAGTAGTGTATTGGTCCTACTTTCAAGGAGGGGCACAAAAGGTAATTCTACACACTATGGATATCAATTTCGACTTTTAAATAGGCATCCTCCTCCCTTGATTCCCTCCTATTTTCTAGGGAGCAAGTCAAAAATAGGACCAATACACTATAAGGGCATTTATTAGCCATAATTGAAGGAGCAGGATAGTCCAAATTCACAGTAGAATGGTGCATTTGAGAAAAAACCATATAAAAGAGATTCTCTAATATTTTACATCCTCAGTAAGCATGATCTTTATGAATTACTGGATGCTGAATAAAGAGAGAATCTCTCTAATAGTGAGTAATCCAATGGAGTCACTTCAAAAGATAAATCCATCCTATTGGACCCACATTTTCTATTAACTTATTAAGAATATTACATATTTTATTTTTTGCATAGTATTCTCTTATTTAGAACAAGGGAGGAAGTTATAAAATAAAAAATTGACCCAGAAAAGTATAACAAGCTGCTCTTCTTTGATTTCATACAATCTCATACTTCTTCGCTTTTCTTGTATTGGAAACATTTAGAATTATCACCATTGGTGTTTAAAAGAATGAAATGGAGTAGGACCCAAGCTGAGTGACTTGGCCAAGTCCCAAACCGGCTCGGTGAATCCTGCCTTTAAAAAAAAATAAAAAAATTGAAGAATATTCGCTGGATTTTTTAATAATGGGGTCAAACTCAAATCAGACTTGGCTAGTCTCAGATCAGACTTGGAACAACTCAGATCATCTGAGACTGTTTCATACACAATAGGGAAGGTGACAATTCCAAGTGACTTCAGGTGACTCCAAGCCAAACTCACTAAATTTTCAATAACTGGAACCATCATGGGACATTTAACCCATACAATATGAACTGCATTATATGTATTAATTCATCCCTTCCAACCTCAGCTACATAATTTACATATCGAAAATAAAACTCATAGAGAACAATTTAATAATTCTCCATTGTTCATCTAAAATTTTGCATCAATTATTGATAAATGATGCAACCATAAGAAATTATAAACTTATGATCTTATAAAGTATGAGACCACAAATTATAGTAAAGTCTACTCCACATGCACGCATGCACACACATGATTTGATCTTTAAAAAATTGAAAGCCAGATTCGTTCCTGGAGTGGGAATTGATTCCAAGCATATTTTAGGCTCCAAACCATTACTCTTTTAAGATTGATCTTAGGGTTGATCTTAGGGACAAATGAAGAGTATCTAAGAGTTTTCGGGTCAAACAAATCCCCATAACTAGGTCTTAGCCCTAGAGTGAGTGGTTACACTATTGGCCCTTGGATTAATAAAATCTTTGCACCCCCCACAACCCCCACCCCAAAAATAAATAAATAAATACAACACAAGCACAGGAAGATATAAAAACATATATCATCCGCTTCAGGCTAACTGCTCTAGTGTCCACCCTATAACATTCTTTTGGGCCCTAGAGATTTGCTTCTGCCGGAATTTTGCAAACACACACTATGAAATCCGCAAAACCGTGAAAAGTTAAGGAAAAATATAGAAGGAAAAAGTTTATATAGAGCTGAGGCTCTAAACAATCAAATTTGAGCCTACCTCAAAAATTTCACTAGAGGAGGTTGTTTTGATGCCCAAATATCTTCAAATGGATCATCTTGACATCAAGATGCATGGACATCAGAAAAAAATGGATTTCAAGTTTTAGAAATAGTGTATTTTGTAATGCATTTTTGGACCGTCAATTTTCAAGATTTTCAACTTTTCATAGATCTGTCAATCTACACTACTTTTTTGAAGCGTTAAACTTTATAAACAAATATGAAAATATATTTTAAAGGTTTCTCAAAGATTTCCAGTATTGAAACCACATTTCTTGAAACTATTTGAAGGTAGGCTCTAATTTGATTGTTTAGAGCCTAGGCTCTATACAAACCGCACCCAATATAGAACTACAAAAATGCATTCTTTGAGGAGAGAGATAATCAAATGACTACAGACCTTCCATTTCAGGTGTCCCAAACAAGTGCTAAATCGAGGCCTTAAAAGGATTCCTTTGACCCCAAATTTCATAGATTGCTTAATCAGCACCAGATGAACAACCAAGGAGTCAAAAAAGAGTTAAGACCCGGATCTGACCGCCCAAAAAGAGGATGACATGCATTCACTGAATCGGGCAGATAGTTTTAGGCACACTACTAGAAAGCATAAGGGGTAAAAAAAAATTGGGGCTTGGGTGTAAGGATTAGCTAAATTTGGAGTCCAAAGGACCCTCCTAGCTATGGTTTTGCGCCACGGTGGACACTGTAGCAATCAGCCATCAAGCGGACCACACTTTTTCAATATAATATATAATATATATGTATATGTATATATGTCCATAGGTCAAATTGGATATGTAATTATTGGAAGAATTGTTGGAGACTCAAATGATCGATATGCAAGCATGATAACTTATATGTTGTTATATATCTCCATGAATCTAGGAACTTTTGCGCGCATTGTATCATTTGGTCCACGTACCGGAACTAATAACCTTCGGGATTATGCAGGATTATACACGAAGTATCCTTTTTTGGCTCTCTCTTAAGCCCTATGTCTCCTATCCCTAGAAGGTATTCCTCCATTAGCAGGTTTTTTCGGAAAACTCCATCTATTCTGGTGTGGATGGCAGGCAGGCCTATATTTCATGGTTTCGATAGGACTCCTTACTGAGCCCAGCTTTTAATACTGACATGGACTGAGTCAATTTGGGCCTAGTTCCGAATGCCCAAGAACCCGGGTCATGGGCCAGGCTAGGTTGATCATTGCCGTGCCTAGGCCCAACCCTCTCACAGCACTTTGCAAAAAGCCTCATAGGATTCAAATTGTAGCATATTCCTTTGTAGTGATATGTTGACATAATGATGTGACACATAAGAATGCTAAGATAAACGATAAAACAAAGAAGAGTAATTATTCTTGCATGTTCTATTTTTTTGTTCTTGTGTGCATACTACTACTGACATGATTATAATTTGTTCCATTTAGTAATAATTTTTCGTACTTTTGGGATATATTTCTAGCAACATCCCATTTTAAACATGATTATAGCAGAAATGTGAAAGGAACACATTTAACCCACAGTAACTATAGGAGATAGAATTTCCACGGGTAATTATGCATAGGGAGAGCCACAGGAGTGAATACCACAAGGCAAATGATTTCCTACACCAAGTTATTTGAACTCTTAAATAGGCTGTATGCTTTGACTCCAAATCGCCAGACCTGGCATTCACACAACAGACCACTGTTTTGAATATCACAACATCCTGGCCACCTAGTTGCACACATTGGCGCGATTGGTTACGGTGTTGATAATTGCAAAACTGCACACCAGATTCAAATCCCATGCTGACCTACCCAAAAAACATGCACTACAGCTAATAGGATTTCATAGATGGGTAGAGTCAAATAGAAACAATTCAAGAAACTGGAGCAAGAAATGTTTCACCAAAAGATACTTTATGATACCAAGAAAAGCACATGGAAAACACATGGAACATTTTGTTTCTTTCTAAATTGACCACAACTACAAATACGGAGTAATAGATATGGATGTTAACAAAGGGAAATACTTGAAACCCTACGAGTCCAGCCTGATCTCAATGTCCCATAACAGAGTAAATGAACTAGAATTAAAAAAATATTGATAACCCTTCTAGGGGCCACCTAAAAACGTCCTTAACCCACGCATGACGTGATTCACTCAGGACAGTTAACAAGCCTAACATGAACCAACACTTTAAAAACATGCACATTCAGTAAGAGGATAGCAGTCTGAACACAACTACACAAGCAACAAACTGTCTAAGAGCTTAACAGAATCCATCACAGAAGATACTGGATACCAGCAGCAAAGTTAAAGCGAAACCCGTCACAGACAATATAAAGGGTATGATCACAAATGACAAATGGAGTAATAACACCGCACCAGATGACTTTGACAGGTAGTAGAAATTCTCAGTTTGGAACTAAGCATTTAAGGAGTAGAAAACAAGATTCAAAGTAGCAAAATGAAACCACCCCACCCACAAAAAAAAAAACCACCAAAAATGGGGGGCGAGGAAGAAGAAGCAAAAGTCATGGTAAATTCCCCACTTTTACATCCCACTTCCAGATGCCCAAAGACGCTCAACCAAGAGGTAACAAGAACATTTAATTTGAAGTTGCAAATGTAAGCTGATTAGAAGGTGACTCTAGCACTAGAAGCACCTAAAATCCCTTTCAAGTTTCATAAAAATGGCTGATTGAGGTGAAGTTCTAAGGAAATAAATAAGGCATGTAGAAAGTGTCTCCTATCAGTAACCACAGAATAAATCATGAGGACAATAGGAAGAGTAGAAAAGAAAAATCAACTACAAACAGAAGGCCCCATGCAACACTCAATTTGGCCGCAAGGTTGATGTCCCCATGCCACCACCAGCCATCTTTGACTCCAACTCCAGCCAATTTAACAGAAACTCGGTTTGCCTCCTTGTGTCAGTAAAGACATTACTGACCAACTTTGTTCACTGCTTAAAGCACACACCATAACTATCACGAGAAGGTCGCAGAAAGAAGAGACTCACCAATAAACTTTCTCCACCGGAAGACTGACAAAACACATCACTAAGACGAGGACAAGCATCAAGACCACTAGAAGATCATAAAACATACCCAAATACAAATGTACAAGTACAAACTAAAATATGTCAGAAAAATTACTTGCTGGAAAGGAAATTTTCGAGAGGAATATTGAACAATCTAATGATCATCACATTACATGCTAACATTGAAATCACTTTCTTATCCAAAAGATATACTAGTTAGACCAAGACTTCGCCAATATAATAAAGCAATGAAACATGACAAACAAAATCCCAATATTGAAGTTCATAGTTTGCACAAAGCCTTGCCACTCGAAACAAAGTATCACAAAGGAATGACAAATTGATATGAAAATATCTGATCTATGCGCTAAAGAACTCACGATGCTCATAAAACCAAATTTAACTTCTTCAAAGAGCCACACCAATATCAAAAATTCTCCCCCAGAATGCATAGATGTGAACCTAGCCAAAAAAGAGAAGAAATAAGTGCACCAATCAGGAGTATGAAAAGCAGCCAAACAAGCAAACTGCCTCCATTCAGCGGGCGTGAAGTAGTCAGTACCACAAGTTTAACGCCTGCTTCCTCGACTCTCAAAACTAGCCCTTCTCCCCTTCGTTGGCTCTTCTTGTGGCACATGGTCCTCCGATGACCTAAAAATATGCAACATTTCATAATTGAGCTGATCAAAAAATATCTCATTTGGAAAAAAAAATGAAACACCAAATAAAGATAAATAATTAAACATATACTAAATTAGTCAAGAAAACTAACATAGGACAATATACATAAAAAGCACTTGCCCATACAATTTCTGCTTCTTCGCACTATCCTGCTTGATACTTAAAACCATATCCATGGCCATCTTTTGATGCTCTCGAGTTTGTGAATGCAAATCCAAACCCTCTACTGTCTCACAGTCAACCTTGCAGATACGACACCATCCTGTGCTGCCGGGCTTCCTTTTCCTTGAGTACTCCAAAGCATCCACATCACTTGGAGGAAATGAACCCTGAGATTAACCAAAGGTCCAAAACCAACAGGTTACACAAGAGAGAACATTTTTTACAAAAAGAAATTGTCATTGATAGAGCAAAAAACCAAATTAAACTTTAAATCAACACCCACCGGGTTATAGAATCCACCATCTTTGGGGTAACCTTGCATCCCAAACCCTGGTTCACGTAAATGACCACCAGGACCCATGGCCTCTCCAATCCGTAAGTGAGGAGGCAAGTTACCTGAACAACAGAATCAGCGAATTATTGGTCACTACAGTAAGAAACCAGGACCAAAAGGCACAGCCATACCTGAACCAGCCAACTCCCTGCCCCGCAAGTGGCTAGGCAACTCACCACTTCTAAAATGGCTCGGACCAAATGGATCACCACCCCGCAAATGGCCAGGAAAGTCACCAAAACCAGCAGACTCAGCAATCCGTGATGGAATGGGTAATCGGCTCTCAAAAGGACCAGAGGGGATTTTGCCACCATGTATTGGATCTAAAAAAGCTCTAGCTCTTTGTTCACCAAAACCAAGCGGCTCCCTACCACCCAAACCATCTAATGGATGAGGAATGCCAGCATAATCAGGCCGAACACCAGAGACTCTTACTCCAGCATAATCTCTAACAGGGCTTCTTGGCGGACCCAAACCGTCACGATGAGATCGACTCACCTCTGGAAAAGGCCCACCGTAATCGCTACGAGCCCCAGTTGTGTCCAGTTTTCGGCCAATGAGATCACCATGAAAACCACCAGGCTTTGACCTATCCCCAAGGTCGAGTGATGAACCTCCAGCACCACGGTATGGAGGCACAGACATACCTTCAGGATATCGTGGGGCATCAAGATTCAATCCAGGCCTTTCAAGTGACCTTGGTGAATGGCCACTTGGATTCCGAGATGAGAAGTAACCATCATATCTGGAAGCAGGTTCTCCATCTAAATGGCCTGATCTAGGAAATTTCTTGAGATCTTCTTCAAATTCTCGCCGGTCAATAGCACGCCTACTTGGGTCCAATGCATAAGGCCTGAAATGATCATCTGGCAAAGGCTTCTTTAAACCATCTTCAGGCAAATGCTTGAATCGATCCTCCGGCAAAGGCCCAAACCTTTCCTCTGGTAAACCATGGGGAAATGCAGACTCTGGCACATTACTTCCCTTACCGGCTGCCCCATTAACCAGGCCATAAGGAGCACGATCAGAAGGTAAGGATTGGTGAACATCTGGTTGCCTGCCATCAAAATATCCAGGCCTATTCTTCAAAAATGTGTCAACATGATCCATAGGTGGCCGACCCATCTGATTATCAATACCATGTACAGGTGCCCTAGGCATCATGCTCCCTGGACCATCAAATGGCCCAGAAGGTGGTCCAGGCAAACGTTCTCCTGGAGCATGCTTTGAAGGAGGATACATAGGGACTGAACTATGGCCTTGAGGAGGCAATGATGGTGGTGGCATTCCCAATTGGTTTGGCCCCCTTCCAATATCTCCTGGTCCACCTGTTTGAACTCCAGGGTGCAAAGGACCATGATGGAGTGGAGGACCAGGCGGTTTCTCTATCATATCAGGCACCTGAGGCCTCAAGTGAGGAGCCTGCTGCCCTTGAATTGGAGCTGGGTAATGAGGATCAGGAAACCTCCTTTCCTGAATTGGCCCTTGCATATGAGGTGGCGCTAACATATGATCTTGAAGAGGAGGCGGCCTTTGAGGTGCACGCTCAGGACCATGAGGAGGAGGGCCACAAGGCAGGGGTTGTTGTGGATATCTCTCTTGCTCGAGAATAGGGAAAGAGTGAGCACCAGGTTGAACATAGCCCCTTGGCTGCAACTGACCAGGTTCTTGCCTAGCTGGCTGAGGATAGCTCTGGTATTCATCTACTCTTGGGCCTTGACGCGGAGGAAACTGGGTCAAGTTCCTGTCTTGAAAATTGGATTGAGTTTGCTTCCTATCAAAACCAGGAGGCACTCCTTGTCCAGAAGGAGCAGGAAATTGTTGAAGAGGAGCCTGCAAGTTAATTCTTTCATTACCTGGTGGAATCTGACCCTGGTTAAAAGCATTTTGCATGGGCTTATCAAGTCCTGGGAAATTTTGCACAGTTTCCTCCCACTGTCGAGGTCCCTGTGTATTTTGAGAATCTTGTTGCATCTTGCCATCTGGCCCTTGAAGCCCTTCTTGGGTGTCCTTCACTTCATGCTCAGCAACATTGCCTAACTTTTCAGTGAATTGGGCATCGTTGTGATCAACCTGACCCTCCAAAGAATTATCAGAAACTTCTTCCTTCACAATTTTTCGCCCTTCTTCAGATTTTTTATCTGATCTTTCAGAGTCAGAACCCACATCATGGAACTTGGGTGAAGAATGAGGTGCCTCAGAAACAGCAGGATCAAGCACGCTCTCCTCTTCCTTCAAGCCACCCAGCTTCTCTTCCTTTACTTTGTACTTCAAATCACCCAATGACTTCTGTTCATCACCTTCAACAAATGCATTCTCTGATTCAATCGGCTCCCTTCCTCCATCAGAAGCTTTGGCATGGGATGGAGAATGAATAATCTTCTCCGGTACATCTCTTCGCTCCATCGATTCCAATTCTGATCTAGCAGTTGCAGCAGAGGAAACCTGATTTGAGTTTGCCCCAGATTGAGGCACAGATGAAGGAAACAAAGAGCCTTGGCCACTAGTCTCATGTGGAGTTTGTGACGGTGGCCGTTGCCCCGGTCTCACCATGTAATTCTGATTTGGTGAAGCCAATGCCTGACCAGCCATAGCACCAGGAGATTGAGGAAAGGATTGTTGGGGCACCCCATGACCCTGAGTTGCAGGCCTTGCACCATGATATGAGAACTAGCACCAGGGGCCAAGCCCAGTGATGGCTGAGCATGATGGGGATATTGCTGAGGTGGTACTCCAGGGTGTTGGTGCATAGTGGGTGGCACCCCTTGCGGTCGCATAGGCTGCTGGTTTTGCATTGGGGGTGGATGCTGATTATGGGGCAAATTTTGTGGTTGTGTAGGGTATGGCTGAGGAGGGTGCATAGGTCCAGGAGGCCCCTGTTGTTGAAACTGTGGGTGTGGGAGCGGGTGTGGGTGTGGGTGTGGGTGTGGGAGTGGGTGTGGGTGTGGCTGATGTTGAGGTATGGGTTGTTGCTGAGGAGGGGGGTGAATGGCTCGATGCGGGGCAACTTGGGTGGGCTGATGGTGCATAGGAGCACCTTGTGGCAGATGCATAGGAGGGCCTTGAGGGTGAGGGGGTGGCCCTTGTGCTGGGTGCATCATGGCCTGATGGTGCATAGAAGGCTGCTGAAGTGGGGGGAACTGGCCCTGCATATGGACTGGGGGGCCAGCAGGCCGCTGGGGTTGTGCATGCATGGGTTGTGCTTGCATTTGCTGAGGTGGCATGGCTTGTTGAGTTGGTGGCACATATGACTGGTGACCAGTAACTACCTGCCCTGGCTGAGGGTGGGGAAGGTGCATTTGGGGCCGAGGCTGGGCTTGAGGGTGTGCGTGAGGTTGTGGATATTGCATATGAGGATGAGAATGAGGATGAGGTTGAGGTTGAGGTTGAGGTTGAGGTTGTGCATGAAGATGTGGTTGTGCGTGGGGTGGGGGTTGCGCATGAACAGGTGGCTGCATATGAGGTTGGGGATGGAGTTGAGGTTGTGGTTGAGGGTGAGGCTGCATATGGGGTTGCGCATGGGGGTGAGGCTGGGCTTGTGGATGGGTATGAGGTTGAGCGATGGCATTTGGGTGAGGCTGTTGTTGAGCTGGTAATTGTTGGGGCTGGGCTTGTGGTTGCATTGGAATAGGTTGTTGAACTGGACCATGCATTTGGGTTTGAGGCTGAGGGTGAGGTTGAACATAGGCCTGAGCTTGTGCTGGATATTGGGGTTGGACATGAGGTTGTGGTCCTTGTGGTTGGGGTTGTAAGGCCTGTGGCTGAGCTTGTGGACCTTGTGGTTGAGGTTGTGTGCCTTGTGGGTGTGGCTGCAACTGGTGTTGTTGGAATTGTTGAAGAGCATGCTGTTGATATTGTTCATATTGTTGGCATTGTTGCTGATACTGATCATATTGAGGGTATTGTTGATAGTATTGCTGGTATTGTTGCTGATACCATTGTTCAGAGGTTGGTGCCTGAGCTCCAGCTTGTGGTACTTGAACAGTTGGGGTTCCTTGACTTGGATCCTGAGCTGAAGGATGAGAAGCCACAGGCTGGTTAGCTGGTGTCACTGCTGCTGCTACAGCAACAGCAGCTTGAGGAGGATTTTGCTGATTTGTAGGTGGTGGATTAGCTTGGGTCGGATCAGGTTGTTGTGTTGTTGGAGTGGTTGAAGCCTGGCCAGCCTCCGGCTGCTGAGCTAGGGGCTGTGTCCCCTGTGTTTAACAAACATACACACATTTCACAAACCATGCATGATTCCGAGAAGAAAGGCATAATGAACAGTTTTTTTACGATCTGTGCATAATAAACAGCATGATCAGATTATCTTACATCTGGGCTGCTTCCAAACTATAGTGTAGCGCTGTTAAAAAACTGAAGCATGAAAAATTCTCCATGTTTTTGGAAAAAAAATTGAAAACATGCTGAGTTTCTAGGGCCTATTTGCAAAATGCATATGGAACCAATAGTTCTTATGTGTAAATGAGTGGCACACTTATCTACAGTGCATACAAAAGGCTGTAAACCCCGAATGGAACCAATGAGGCAGCACTAACAGCAACTTAAAAATGCTATCCAATTGGCCCTTATGGTTTAGGGTAATAAGGAGTGAACCTAATGTTTTTCTTTTTTCTGAAACTCGAAGGGAACCTACTATTTTAGGTTCCTTGATTTTCCAAAACGAAATAAATGACAACAATTGATGTAGTGTTCAATGCACCCATGTAAGTTACTTGAAAAATAAGTATACTACTAAAGGTTACTTGAAAAATAAGTATACTACTAAAGAAAAGTCCACCAGGGCAAGTAGTGCAAAATTACCAAAAAGACAAAAGTTTGAATCTAGTACTAAATATGTCCACATTTATTTTATGGCTTCAACATGTTTATGTAGCGTAAAGACAAATTTCATTCTACAAATGATATCTTAAAATTAAAATTAAAATCATCATCATCATCATCTTCATTAGAGCCTTATCCCAACTATTTGAGGTCAAACACACGAATCTTGTTCTGCCATTCTGCTCTATCAAGGTCATACTCTAAGTAAGACCATAAGTTCCCATATTTTAAAATTTAATTTAAAATAATTTTCAAATACAAGTAGCAAAACTAACATCCAAAAAAAAAAGGTCCATGAGATACATTGTGTTAGTCTTTGGTTTCGTCAACCCTCCTAGGCAAAAAGATCTATGGTTCCCAAGCACATATGCATGTGCGCACGTTCGCCCACACACACAACAGCACAAAACACAATATGTGGGTGTGTATATGTATATATATTATATCAATACTTCAACCCAGAAAATACTTATGGTTCACATACATACACACAAGCGCAGACATCTGTAAATGTTTTTTTTTTTTTACTTCTTAAAGGCGTGGTGCTTCTCTTCCCATGCCCAACCAAAACAAGCTCTGAAGTACGTTTGAAAACATTGATTATGAACAAGAAAACTGTAATAAAATCTACTTGAGGATAAAGGAAAACCATAGTTGCTAAGATCTCCCATCAAAGGTGGCAATTCCACTCCAAACTCTCAATTAGGCACTCCAGGAAAGGGATCTTCAACGGATCTTAATTTTAAATTTTGGGATGTTGTTTCCCACTAAGAGGGATCTCAATCCCCACTATTAGGGATCTCAATCCACCTTAAAGACGAAGATAACAACCAAATCAATGATTTCCTTTATTTATAGCAAAATGGCAACTAAAATATACTTTTAATATAGCTACATTGCTTGCTGGCGATAAATAAAGAGAACCCTAGTTTGAAGAGCATATATAACTCTAAACTGTATTCTTTAAGTTTGGGAGCAAGATCTCCAAAAGGCTCGGATCAAGATCCCTAACATTTGGGAATCGCGATCCTCAAAATATGCATCGTATAGACGGCACCCCCAACCATTGGTATCTTCTAGCCTGTCACAATGGCCCGCTCCCAATCCCAGTCCAGCTCTGGGTCCTGACCCAGATCCCAACGACTATGGGGACAACCATAGATCATTGGATGACCATCTTCCATTGAATTGATGAAAATAGACCTACCAATGGGGTCGTCCCAATCTTTCTCCACAGCCTTTTGTCATTGAACAACTAGGACAACACGTTTCCAATAGCCCATTGGATTATCATGTACTTTCCAAATTGAACAGCTGCTCATAGAAGAGAATTTAGCAGCTGCAAAGTTTGGGCAAAGAACAGGCACACAGAAAGAGTAGGTGATATCGATTTATAAAATGTCGTATTGAAGACAGTATTCGGCAGGGTTTGTAAAGAGCATCTCAGAAAGCGGGACGTGGTTAGATGTGTGTGGGATGGATTTGAAAACATGGGTTCGCTCTCAACATCATAAAATCACTAATGTAATGACTCACATCTACAATTTATTGTTTTGCAACTTTTTCTTGCTTTGTTTTTCTTTAACCATATGAATTCAAATACCGAAAATAGGAGAAGAAAACCAAGTACTTACAGGGCAATTCTGTGCATGTTCCTGAACTTGCCGATGTACGATTTGTGCTCCACATCTATTGCATACAACAGGGGAATTGCCATAAGGACAACCACTGCAATGGGCAGTACTTTCCGATAATGGGCCTTGCCACGTGCACCCACTCCTGTGATATAGACACTGGACCACTATACGACCAATCGTCTCAGCAAGAGCTTTATTTGTCTCTGACAATGGCTGAAATTGTCCAAAGAACACACCAATTAATAACTTATTACTGAGACTAAAAAAAATACAAAATGAACAAGAAAATTGGTAATGTCAAAAAATTCCAACAGTGCAATGAAAATCAATATGAAAATTAATGTGAGGAAGACTTTAAAGGGTTATGAGCAAGATAATAGACCTTTGTATCTGCCTCGGTCACCAAGTAACCATCGTAGGGGCATGCACGAGTGGCGATCAGAACCCAGTCCAGACATGGTTTGCAATAAAGATGTGTACATTGCGTTTGTAAGGCTTCATTGGGGTAAACAAGTTGCCGACAAACTGGGCAAAAGTACTCCCCAGGAAGAGTTTGGAGATTCAGTATACTCTCGTTATCAAAACCCATGGAAACCCTGTGTATTACGTGGGATGCTTATCATTCGTTACTCAAATGGTCTTAAAACAGTCTGCAAATAATAGAGAAAGAATAACAGCAATTAAGACTATGCATTGAGATTGACTCCAAATCTGACTCCATTGAGGCAATATCTGTCATACAACCAAAAGAGTATAAATACTTAGAAAGAATGATTTCTTTTATAGCTATCAGTGGAAAGTTTGATAAATATCATACACGGAGGAATTCGGTGTCAGCCACTGCAAACAGAACAACTGGCGGCCGAAGTCATTTTCTGACATAAGGGATATCTTCCAATAAAATAAAGAAAGAGGAATTATTTCTTGTTGAGATGTATCGTGTCCCCTCTAATGGGAAAGATATTACATGTTTATGGGGAGGAACCGAATAGCACAGCAAAGGGGACAAAAAGGAAAATGTGCACGCAGTAACCACGCCAAATATGGAGGCTAAATTTACAGCAAATGGCTATCGTATTTTCCCTGGATAGTCTGGCTTAAAAACATTTCAAATTGCCTGAGGCTTGGGAACATAACTTCATAAGTGTTCCATAAATGCTCGCACAGCACCCACATTTTGGATCATAAAAATTTGCCTAATGATGAGAAATTTTGTGCATTTAATATGAGAAATACCGCCGCTTCGATCAGAAGAAAGTACTGTGTATAATAATCAAAACACTTCATTTGGGATCAAAGAGCTAAAACTAGTAAACAGTCTCTAAGAAGCCTTACAAACAGATTTAAGATCACTTTCTCATGAAGAAGTTGACCAGGCTTAGATCCATGCTCAACGTTAAGGAGGAGCATTCAAAGGCTATAGCACCTTGTTAGAATGCCAATGCACAAGACAAGAAGGACTAAGTATGTTTTCGTTTTCTTTTTTCTTTTCTTTTTTTTTCAGAAATAAAGGTCTAACTTTGTCACAGACTAACAAATATTTTTTTTTAATATGTCGAAAATGTAATTTAAATATAAATCCCCAAATGGCACACAATGGGTTATGGATCCATTAATCTCGTGAACCACTCTTCTTACTACGAATTTGTTACATTTTCCCTGAGACTATTGGAAACCTCTTCGACAAAAGGTACAGTTAAAATTAAACATTTTCTTTATTCTAAGACTAAAGAGCCACACCTCCACACTAGGGGAAGCTAGTAAAACATATACAAATTAACCAGATTTATGGAGAAAACCAAACATCCATTTATCAAGTGCATTTCCTACGATTTATAAATATGTTAATCAGAAAAAATAAAAACATACAAAATTAAGAATCCATGTTCAGGCCGGTTGAACCCGGTTGGTGACATACAAAATCGTCACATGCACACCAATTTACGAAAAACAACCCAAGTATGAAAGCGATTCTAAGCATTTTCCATCAATTCATCAGAGATTACAGCACAAAAACACTAAAATGCTCAACTGCGAACATAAATACTGCATATTTTCCCAAAGCCTCTCATTTCTAGGATCTAGGAGTCGTCTCAGAAGCTAAGGTTCAATTAAAAAAGCCCTAGTTTCTCCAAAAAATTAAAAAATGCACAGAAGTTAGGGATTAAAATTAGGGTTAAGGGGCTTACCTCAAGTTGCAAGCGAGAAGGTGAAACTGAAATTAGAGAGGGAGCGAAAAGATTTCAGAGAAAGTTAGAGAGTGAAGACGAGGTGAAACGAACTCTTGGCTTCCTATAGATGGTCGTCAAGAAATAGTGTGAGAACTAAAAATAGAAAAAAAAAATAGAAAACCCTAATGCCCCACGTGAGATGCGCTTTTACGGCCGTTCGATCAACTGTGGCGTGTTCTGGCCCTCAGATGAGGGATATTTCTGGCTGGGCATTTGCTCGCCTTTGGTAAGTAACACTGAAAAGGGCTAAGTTTAGTTTTTTTTTTAAAAAAAAATATAATTATAAAGGGTGCTGTTTGTATTGAGCCGATCTTCAAATAGTATCGATAAATGTGGTTTTAATACTGAAAATCCGATAATTTTAAACTATATTTTTATTTTTAATTATAAAATTTAAAGCTTCAAAAATAATGTAGATCAAATAGATTTATGATAACTTGAAAATCGACGGTCCAAAAATATGTTAAAAGATGTACTATTTTAAAAACTTGAAGTACGTTTTTTGCTCATGTCCATGCATCATCAATTTGAGAATATTTAAGCATCAAAACAACTTCTTCTACTAAAATTTTTAAGGTGGGCCCTAATTTGATTGCTTAGAGCCTCGCCTCTATATAAACTCTTTCCAATTATAAAATATACATCTTTCTTTTTTAAATTCCAAACCATATTCAACTTTTAAAAAAGGAACAAATTTATATAAACAAGCAACCTTATACTGTAGAACTATGGATGCACCTCAAAAATCCATCGGAAAAGGTAGTTTTAACGTTTTTGAATGATCATCTCGACATCGAGATGTATGACCATTAAAAAAAAAAGATTATAAGTCTCATAAATAGTGCATTTTACAACATTTATCTACACCATCTATTTCATATGTTTATAGATCTATTTGATTTTAACCATTTTTAAAATTTAAAACTCTATAATTATATATAAAAATCGATTTTGAGATAATCCTAATAACATTTTACATTAACATCGTATACCATGATAAAATTTGGAGGTGCACCTTACCTCTAGGATGCATCCGTAAGCCAACTGCACCTTTTAAAAAGTTTACAACCATATCCATTTTGGAACAATTTTCTTCTTTACCCAAAATACCCTCTTATGCTATGAAGCCCACAGCCCTATTAGAGTTGTGATACACCCTTGGTGTATCATGGCTTTGTTAGGGCCGTGATAACATAAGAGGCACCACAAGGAAGTGTTTGGGAATCACGGCTCTGTAATGGTTCCTCATGGCTCTTGGGTTGTCATGTTCCTTGGTGGTTTACACATGATGCTCCAAGTGAGTAATTGTCGCAGTGTTAGTCATGATGTTCCTTGACGACCACGGTTCTATTAAGACAGTGATGGTCTATGAATAAACACTTATACACCCATGGTCCAATTAGAACCGGCACGGATAGTTGGGGGTCCTTGGATAATCGTACACTTGGTAGGTCCATCCCGCAGGCATATTGCAGCAAAAAAAAAAACTATGAAAAAATGAGTATAGATATCGATTTTAAAAAAAATTGGTATTTATTTAACATAATAAAATTTTGGGGATATTTTCAATCTATGTGGTGCACCGGTGATGTATCATACACTAGTCATGTATATAGGTGATACACCATGGGAGGGTGGGCCACGTATCATAGTGTGGATCAATCTGACATAAGTATAGGACTAGACATGCCCCATGAACCCGATGGGTCAAGCTCATGTCAAGCGGACCTTGATCCGACCTAGTTCAAATATGGATTATGGTTGGCAATGAGTCAGGTAGCCTGGCCCAGCCCGTTTGGCCTAGCCCTAAAAAACTGAGGCATGGGCCATAAATGTGACTTCACAACCATGCCATGGTTTCTTTACCGTAGCTCAATGGTCATGGTGGGCCAAGGCCACGACAGGGGCGCCCCCTAGCCTGGATAGGGCTAGCCCCAAGAACTCGTCAGTCCATTCGAGGCCGGGCCAACCCAATAGGGACCATGGGTAGCCTATGCCTGGTCCAGAACTGGGTCTAGCCCTAAGCTTCCTAGGTCAAGGGACTGCCAAACCTGATATATAGCATGGAATATATAAATTAAGTATTGTGATATAAATCATAAATTTCTATCACAATTGCATTAATATAATTAGTAAAAAAAAAAAATTGACCCACTAGAGTTTGGTCCAACTACACTTGACTATGATCTGCTCAAGTAGGATCAGATCAATGTCTAAACTAGTAGGTTCAAGCCCGATATTTTGCCAACCTGACTCATTTACAACCCTGGTCCACAAATAGGTCCCAAGACATGGAAATTAGTTGCAATTCGATGGACAGAGATAAATTCGTCCATACGCTAGTGGTGCGTGGTATATAGTTGACCCATCATGGATTATCTGTAGTCTTTCAAACATATGGAGATTAAGTTCGATGTCCCTCAAAAAGTAATTAGTGAAAAATGGTCACATTACAAAACTTGGTAAAAAATAAAATTAACCAAATTTTAGAAAAATATAAATTTTTTTTTAAAAAATACTAGTAAAGTAGTTCACTTTACAACACATTATCTAGATCGTCAATTTTTTAGATTTTTATATATTGTAACCATTTTTGGAGTTTACAAATTTATATTTAGATATGAACACTGATTTTGAGATAATGCTAATAAATTTTTACACCAAAATTATATGTTATGATAAAAATTGGAGGCTTGCCTTAATTGAATTGTTTGCCGTTGCAACCTTATAGAAACCACACCCTTGTAGTATTAAGCCATATATTCGGTGGAACATGTTATGCTAAACTTTATGGCACGTCTTGATGAGTGAGACTTTTGAAATAGGTAGTCTTTTGCGAGATATTATAGGGTAAGAGTGGGATAATCTTTAGGGGTGGAAACGGGTAAGATCTTGATTGGATTCGGTTGGATTCAGACCCCAAAAAATGATTTGGGACTCAAACTCGAAAATATAGTGTGAGGCCTGGACCCGACCAAAAAAATTAAAATATCAATGTATTTATATATTGGGACCCAAAAAATATTACTCAGATCTGGACCCAGACCTAGACCCAACCGGACCCAGACCTGAATAGTGTTTGGGATCCAAGATTTGGACCCGGACTAGACCCCTTGAGTCTAATTTTTTGACCTATACTCGGACTTGGATCAGGTCTACCCCTCTAGTCCGGGGTCGAAACTAGGTCCATTGCGACCCCTAATATTAATTTTGTGGGATTCATCTCCCTTGCCACGGTGGTAATTTAGACGAGAGTGGATTCCTTCCCTCGAGTTACCATGCAAATCCTATTTTATAGGAGTTGCATTTAAGGCTTTTCCAAATGTTAATGTTTTAAGAAAATAACTTGTTTAATGTATATTGAGTAGATTTTGGTAGCTTCGTATAGCCTGTAGGGAGCATGCTTATCCAGTTTAAAGGAGCTGTATAGACCGAGCATGGGTTTTCCAGTTCAAAGCAAAAAATAATAGTGTGTATAGTATGCTCTTATGGGCACACATATTATACTTTTGTTTTTTGTCGGATAAAATACATGCTTACTATCTAAATTGTTGGTATCCTTATAAGAATTACCTAAAGTATTTCCAATTTAAACATAAGGAAAAAGTTTATATAAGTGTGAAGTTCTAAACAATCAAATTAGGGCACATTTAAAAAATTTCACTAGATAATGTTGTTTTGATGCCTAAATATCCTTAAATTGATCATCTCGACCACAAGATGTACAAACATGAGAAAAAATTGGATTTTAAGTTTTGGAAATAGTGCATGTTATAATGCATTTTTAACCATCAATTTTCAAGTTTTAATAGATTTGCTCGATCTTCACTATTTTTAAAGCTTTAAATTTTATAATTAAAAATAAAAATAAATTTTAAATCGATCCGTTGGATTTCAAGTTTTATATTTCCTTATTTTCCAATCATATATTTGGGTTTTTTTGCATGAGACGGCAAGGTCGCATGTAAACTCGATCTTTGAACCTCTCATGAGTGGTGGAAACGGCAACCACTGCTTTACACTGATTCTAACCCCCTTTGTTATGGGCATTCAAGTTAAGCAAAGACACAAGTCATTGACGAGGTGAATGGTTTGACTGGACCATTTGATATTAACGAGCTAGGGGTGGTAACGGGTCGGGTTGAACAAGACCAAATCAAGGCCAAATAATTTATGGGACCTGGATTTGGATCCGGACTCGATTGAGATTGACTCATAAATAAAATATCTATTATTTAAATATTATAACTAAAACATATACAGTTATATTTATTTAAATATTATTAATATTATATATTATATTGAATATTATTAAAATAATAGCACTATTCAAGTTGGGTCCACATGGACGCGGACTCAAATAGTGTTCGGATACAATATTTGGAGTTGGACCCGACCCGTCATGTCCAATTATTTTAGCCGTACCCAGACCTGGGTCGGGTCCAATCGTGGGGCTCGAGTCAGTTCGAGTCCATTGCCACCTTTGAAAAAAGCATGTGCCTTGTCCAGACTCTTACCTATAAATTTTAACTAGTGATTTAAAATTTGTCGAGCTGTTTTGGGCCAAAAACCCTCATAATTGTCTTGAATCCCTTGATTTTAAACACTATTTTTAAAGCTTATTTATAAAATCGCTTGACTTGACTCAGACTCATCCAAGAAGAATACGGGGACTCAGGGCGAGGCCTGTCGAGTCGGAGCCCTGGTCAAATGTTATAAACATTGGTTTCAACTTTCAACTATATGCGCATTTGACAATCGAAGATGCAGTCTAAATGCAGAGAGTATTGCTTCTCTTAAGGCATGTTGGATAACAGGAAGTTAGATGGAGGAAGAAAGAACTTCCACATTACTGTTTGATGCACACAAGTTATATAGTAAATAATCTCCCCTATAACATCCTTACTCCCTTTTGCTTAAGAAAAAAAGTTCCATAAAAAACGATGGAACTTACAAGAGGAACTTGACCTTCGAAGAGGGCTGCTTCCTCAAACCCTATTATGTGTATTTTATATTTATGTTATATCACATAAATATATTAATATATATATTATACTGTAATATAAATATTTATA